AAGAATAAAATTACCTGTTGACTCGGTAGACAAACTCAGGGTTAAACAGCTAAAAACGCCAGTCAACCACCCAACCACCCAGCACATTCTAAACAGGATACACGTACATTTGTATCTATAAGTGCGTGGTATGTGCATACGAAAGGTTGAGTTAGGGTGCTAAGGTAAGCAAGTTGACGGTGGAAAGTACTTCCCAAGTTGCTTTGATGTCCTTGCGAAGCAACAGGCTCACCAAGAGCTGCTGAAATGCGAATGTGAAATTCATTCAAATGAAATAATGTTTACATGCTATATAGAACCGTGTATTCCCAGCGGTCATATAAAATTTATTAAGTGGTAATTCACACCTCCTTTCTGATATATCAATTTCTCCACACGTATTTATATATTTTTATTTCAATTTTCCTTGCAGTTTTGCGCAAAGCTATGCGAAACCTTGACAAATTATTTTGCCAGACATTTGTCAGACACTGAGGAGATGTTTGGCTTGTCTGCGTGGAAGACATGCGTCCTCAGCTTAAGTAAAAAATCTACTTTAAAAGTTTTTTTCGTTGGTTTCCTCATTTTTCTTTAAAAAAAAAACGTGAGCATCACGTTTCCAGAAAATCCTTTTAATGCGTCGCGACAGTTGGGCTAAAGTGGCTTGGCTATCGAAACTTGTCCCCGTAAAGCCAAAAGAGGAAAAAATTTGTATTATTGTAACAATTTGGAAGTATTTGTGCATGGCACAAGGATATTTTTTCACATTGGCCCATATTTGTATGAAATTATTTTTTGATATTTTATAAAAATACTACACAAAGCAAAGCAACAAAGCAAACCACTGAAATCTACGATGTAGTTAACATAACTTATGAGGGAGGCCTAAGCAGATATTGTGTTTTACTGGTTTATTACCAAAATTGAGTCATCAACGTTAAAAACTTTTCAATTAGAGGCAAATTTAATTAATTTCTCCTTTGTTTGTCGTTTTATTAGATTTACTAAAGAGCATATTAAGTGCAACTAAAAACCGTAAAACGGTGTGGAATATGTCGATGTCGACAATACGCCAGACCATCAAACCATTTTGCTCTCTAGTATCTGCAACGGTAAGCGGTTCAACGAGGGTAGAAACTCACAGTTCGCAGTTCATAAATTTGAAGCTGATAAGTTTACGCTGATGCTGATATTCATTTGCGTGCCCGTTTATAGCCAAAAATATGTAATGAAATTCGAAAAGGAAGAATGAAATTCAATTAACTTCAAGTGCTGCCGACATAGAACAAAACACTTCAGCGTAAAATTTTATGGTGTGTTCACACCTCATCGTCGTCATCGTCGTCATCGTCAGACAACTCACACTTCATAATCAAAGACCTCACCAGTCTTAGCACTCACAGCAACATCTACAGTAGCATCTACAGCAGCATTTAAGCAGCATCTGCAGCAGCAGCATCTACAGCATCGACAATTTATCTACTAATAAACAACAAACACACCAAGACCATCACTGGTGGCAGGGATAGCAGCAATCAACAAAAGCTGTAGCAAAACCATCAGTAACAGCGGGAATAGCACTTAGCTGATAGAATGTTTCCCATATCAGCAAGGAACAGTACTGAGTCAGTCCTATGTGTGACCAACATTTAACCCTCTACATGTTTCACGTACTATAAATACATAACCACACAATCACACAATCACACGACAACAACAACGAAAATTGTAAGGAATTTTCGCTTACTGGGGAAGTTATTGCCACAAATTGAACCGAAGTCGAAGTCAATGTGAAACTGTGGTGTTTCGGTGAGTTTCATGGTTTAGTTTTATGACATTATTAACCTGTCATTTGGATTGTTTATATTGCAATGTAATTGTAATGATATGTTGTTGTTGTTGTTGTTATTGTTGTTATCATAGTATTTGCTATTATTTCTGATAATATTTCACAACAAGGGGTGTTGGGTATAGAACGACTGGTTGTCACCATCATCAACTAATGTACAACTTTCATTAAGGTTCATTTAAACCAAAATTTTTATTCCATTTCTTTGGACGGTTTTACAGTTCTACTATGAGTTTAGTGTTACGTGTTGAAAGTTAACTAAATACTTACTCTCTATGCAAATACACAGCTCTGGCTAAATTGAGATAATTCATATTGAAAGTCTAAGAGTTATATATCCTAGCGCATGTCCTATGTAAAGATCTACCAAAAATGTTGCGTAAGAAGTGTAAACAGATTTCGATTATCATAGTTTCATCAAGTTGTGCGGAAGTATAACCTACTACTTGACGAGCTTTGATTTTGTACTACGGTTCGATAGCCCATAAAAAGCATATTAATCGTCGGTGAATAGTTAAACCTATTAAATTCGGCGTTTTTTTATTCCCGCTGCAGCATATACGCATGCTAATAGTTATATCCTTTCCATTTGGCTTGCCCGTATCCACTCCTTTGCGATATTAGCTCCGTCATTGAGGTGCTCATAGTTCTATAGGCTTCGAACATGCTGTAGCATACACGTTCGTTATTCACTATATCTTCCAGAGTCTTCACGAATACTACGAGCATTTTGTCTTTGGAGTACTTTTCTACTAGACCAGCGCGACGTATCAGAGTGTTGCGCATATAACCGCAGTGTGCATTCAATTAACATTTTAAGGACGCAAGCCCCAATTTATTCCAATTTTCTTCTAACAGATGTAGAAAGCTATACTTGCTTTCTTTACCCATTCTCAAACGTTTGATTAACAATTATGCTTTGAATCCAGTATTAAACCGAAACAAGAGAATCTAGTATACTTAACGTCTATGGTAAGTCCAGGCACATAATTACTAGCTCTTGTGCACCAGCTTTTCATATTCTGATGAAAAATCATTAAGTTTGTGGCAAAGTGCGAGTAATTTACTGCAATGACTTTTTTTGACTTCTACTTAGTTCAGACAAACCCTGAACCTTGAGGGCACATCATTTTCCGATCAAGAGATCTGCAAACAAATAAACTCACAAATGAAAGGATTTATATGGAAATTGGCGGCTGAAATGTGAAAATGTGAAAAACATTATTAAATGCTTTGTGTGTGCAGGAGAAGGTATTGGAAACGGGATGCGGATGTGAAAAGGGCGGTCGAAGCTGAGTTCATTAAATGTGAAACTCATAATGCTTAACAGTTTGTTTGCTCTTCGGCATTAATAAATATGTTTGCATAAAAAAGAAATCGAAACAGAAACACATTAAACAGCAAGCAAGCAAGCAAGCAAGCAAGCAAGCAACTTGCTTGGTAAATTGTCTAAGACCAGTTAGAAGGGTAGTTAGGTAGTCGCGGTGCATACCTACATACTTATGTGTAAGTGTATGCGCGCTTGTTGATTTGTGTGCTTAACTACGCTGGTTGTTTATACCCACTTAAGCGTTAAACTGACTGTTTTAAAATGCATTCACCTACTTGCCTCTCTGCCTGTCTGTCCGTCCGTCCGTCCGGCCGTCCCTTTATTTATCGGCAACTATATCATACGTATATGTATTACAGTGTAGAGAGCTTTAGAGTGCGTGCGTGTGTGTGTGCTAATGCAAATAGAAGGCGTTAACATGATCTCAGTGCTGTATTTTGTTTTGGCATGCAGTATTACTGCTCCTGTTACGTTGGTGTTGGTGTTATTATTGTTGTAGCATGCTTTTGCATGCTTTTGTGTGGTTTTATTGCCGCTGATAATTAAACATTTCAATTTTCAATTTTGTTTCAATTTTCTTTTATTTGTTTACATTTCGTGTTTAATTTATATTCAAAAATGGTTTTGTTGGCAAAGTAAAAAAAAAAACTTTGTATTTGTTTCGAGTTGCGAGCACGAAAAAATGTGGGAGGATGAAGGGCGGTAAATATATTGCTTCGCCAGCATAAATCTTTGAATCCTCCTCCCTGTTGACATATGCAAATTTTTTTTATAAAGTTTTCAATTTTTTATTCTCTTTAGACGTTTTTTCTAAAACGATTTCTCAAAAGCTTTTCCTTTTTCATGTTTATTTCAGACTTTGTGTTTTTATGTAAATTTTATTTGTTTTGTTTATAACAGAAAAATAATTTATTGAAAGCGCTTATTTGCTCTGTTGTTGTTTGTTGTTGTTTGTTGTTCTAGATTTAGATAGGCAAGTACGGCTTTACATTGGAGCTTCCGCTTATAGCGTTATTAACGAAGTATTTTTTTAAAATACTTGCAGCAAATATTGATCGACTCAGTCAATCTGATTGCAACTTCTCCCGACACAATGTTGTGCACTACAATCTCAAGTGGATCTACATGGTGCAACTTTATTAACTTGTACGGGTTGAGAAGACTTGCCTTAGGAGACCCGTATCCGCACATTCCATTAGAAATCCACGATTAATCTTGATTAGCCAAAGCAAATTCAAAGTACTCAATGTTGCTACTCGTTCGTCATTATATATGTTTCTAAAATCATTTTTGATTATGAAATATCCATAAATAAAACCAAAGTGATTAGGATTGTTTTTATGCACAAAATGTCTGTTTGCCACCACAATATTCATATAATAGTGAATATAAAAGTACTCAGAAAACATATAATGTCAAATCAGTGCAATATGGTATCATATGTAAAATTAGCAGTTTAATAGACTGCTACATATCACATGATACATAAGTACTCAGCAGTCCTACATTCGACATTAGACTTTTATATAAAATTAAATAAATTAATATTTAATAGCATTAATATTTAATTTTAAAATAAAATTTGTACAATTTTACATAGATTTGCACTCTAAACTTTACATAATAATTTCGGAAAAAAGATTTTTCTGACTTGTTAATAAAAACCACTATTCCGGACAAATTTAGAAAATGGCGAATAACTTTTGAAATTTTTAATCGACTTTTATGTTAAAATGTTTGTATTCAAATCGTTTTAAACATCAATTAAAACACTTTTTTTTTTTATTTTAAAAATTATATATTGTATATAAAATTGAAACAATGTTCAAAATTGTTAGTTTTTTGTATATAATTTTCAGAATGTGGTAAATGTCTGTCCACGTCATATTTTTTAAAGTAGGAAGGATTCGTTTTTGTTAAATATGATCAACAATAGCCTGCTAGCAATCCTACACCCCATAATCCCTTTTATATATATCCTGTAAAACCTGTTGAAACCTTTCACTTTACCTTAGGTGTGTAGGTGGCAATAAGTTTCTTTATTGAGAAAAAAGCTTTCCTTGCAGAAAATTGACAAAGAATTTTTTTAATGCCAGAATTAAATTATAACTCTATATATGACTAACTCTAAATATACGAAAATAAATACTTATTAAGGTGGACTTTTACTTTAGTTATATTTCAAGTTTTACTCTTCTTATTCAGCATCCCTTGTGTCCATATTGGAAGCATCATTTCCATCCTCGTCCTCAGTACGTATCCTTTTAGCTGTTGCAGCCTCATCAGTGCTACACCTTTTACGTTTTGCAATATTGAGTTTCTTCTCAACTTTTGTTTCATTTATTACAACCGAACGGCTTATAGTATCACCACCACCATTTTGAGTGAATTCATCCTTCTTTCGCTTACCAAGATCTTGAGCATGAATGGATTGTTTTTGTCCACAGATTGTCTTTTCATCATTCACAACTCGAGAAGTTAAACCTTCTTCATTTACATTAAGGCTCTCTGAAATTGAATTTTTGCTACGACTACGTAAATTATAAACGTGTTCTATCTTGAGCTCTGTCTTTTCTACAGGTAATAGTTGCCTTTGTGGTAGATCATCACAAACGACACTACCGCGGATACTTAAATTACTGTCCGAAACTGACGTCTCATTACACACCATCGTTACCTGTTCAATTGGAGGAGATTGCGAACTGCAGCTCGATCCTGCTAAGTCCGTATTTGGTATTGCATCGATTCCAGATGCTTCTGTGTTCCGGCTGTGGTATGACGGAGATTAATCACAAAAAGAAATTAGAGAAAAAAGTTTTTATGAATATTAATCTAATTTATAATTTTCATAAAAATTAATTACCTTTCTTCCACGTTTGATTTGCCAAATAATTTCTTAAATAACCACATAATTATTTTGATACAAAAATATAGTATATATCAGTCAAATTCTTATGAAAATATTAAGAAATTTTTATCGAAAATTTTTTATTAAGTTGATTTGACTGTTCTTTTTTGTCATAAAAAACAAATATATTTGAAGTGTCATTATTATTTATATATAACTTAAAAATAAAAACAAGAGTACTGGATTAAAATCTGATTATAAAACTTGTTATCACAGATTGTAAACCTGGACTTTCTGGACTTTGTGTTTAATCTACTCTTATTCTAGAACGTGTTATTTCCATACGAATATTCCTTATGATCTATTTATTTATGTAGTGGACACATTGAAACCTTTCATTAAGTAAAAAACCTACTATTACTTATCTGTTATGAAGTCAGGTAATTTGCGAATAAAATTATTTAAAGTTGTCGGACCAATGTTTAAACAGCAAATACTTGATCTGTCTGCGATGAAATATTAATATATGTGGGAAAAATAAAAGTGAGATAAATAAATATGGGAATGACAGGTAAATACGAAATAAACTGAAATCAAATTATTTCAATTACTAGTACTATCAGAGGACGTAGTTATTATTGATTCTCTTATATTATTATTAAAAGGGTTTCTCCCCTTGTGAAAACCCAATCAATAAGCAAATGTTACTACGACCTTATAAAAACACCATAAGTCCTAGAATGCAGCAGATAAGATAATATAAAAAATTTTACTAGAAAAAAACTCTTTATTGGTTGCTTCAAGTGCAGCGGCTACTCTTAAAGTCAGCAGATCCCCTTAAAATTATTTAAATCATGCCATCAACGGATTTGTATGCCGAAAAGTAGCGCAGATCAATAAAGTAGGGTTACAAAAATTCAAAGCTCTAAATTTTGAAAAAGCAGACTTTGGACAAGTCAATCAACAGACATTAATCCATGTCCACATACCAAACAGCAACAAGAAGTAAATACAGATGGTTGGACAAAGGTCTGGTATCAAAACGCTGAAGGTTTCACTTTCATGGATGTGATCATGGATGGCTAAAAAATTGAAAACAGATCTAATGCTGCATTAAACTGCTAATAATTATATATCACGTAGTCATATTGGCAATCACATTATTGAAACATCTTCTATACAAAAGAAATATGTAGTCGTTTCAAAAGAAAAAACGACTATAAATGTTTATAGATCGATTTTTGAATAGTAGTGAAATATAATAACAAAATGTCTTATTTAATACCTAAGCAGAATTGTTTTTGGTTTTTAAGTCAGTATAATTGTTGGACTACAAGTGGCAGTCTCAAGACTTTGAACCTATAAAATTAGAAGCTAAAAGTAATGAAAACTTTTATTGGTCAAATTTAAAGTGTAAAAATTATATACAATAAAAATTTTATACTGACAATCGGACTATATCGGATTATATTACCAACTACAGCGCACAACGCATTTTTATAAAATGTATTTAAATAGAAACAATCCATTGATTCACTGAAACCGAAAGGGAGTTCCATAAGTTCTGGGCTTCTGAGCGCATTGATTGTTTACAAATCGAGATAGATAACGAATTCGATAAAATATGCACATATTCACCACTGAAGATCCAGACTGTCATCAAAATTGTCATCAACCGCGTATACAACGATTTTATGGTAAAAACAGAAATAACTTTTCGGAAAGACAACATCTGTAAGGTAAGAAGAGCCTGCTACAATTCTTCCAAGAGATTTCTTATAAATTTTGTAGTTCGTTATTATCGTAACAGTTCGTAATAGTAATGATTTAAAGTAATTATTGTGACACTGATGGATCAGTGACTATTAAACCCGGGAAAAAACATTTTCTGATTGGGAGCAGAACCAGGAATACTTAGTTATAGTCACCTTATTGGTGATTTGCGATCACACCCTATTAATTGCACTAAGTGGTATCGCTAAGGACTTTAATACCAAAGAGTCCAATATATTTTCCAGCTTGTAGGGTTTCTAAGAAAAGTTTATTCAAAAACACCTCTAATTGTAAACATTTCAAATGAACAAAAATTTTCAGTATGTTAAATATTGATAAATTTGATGCCCTATTTATTATTAAATTATATAAATCTTGGAAATTGTCGATACTGTAAATTATGATAAAGAATTTTCCCAAATAGATTCTTTTCAGCAATCTATGTTATGGTTCACAAAGAAAATAGACTTAAAGGTCTCTTACTTTTATTTCCTTTTCCCCCCTCAGTATTTGGGAAAAATATTAATTTCTGTAAATTGAATGAATTTTGTATATTTAAATAAGCAAGCTAAATAGAAGTCAAAATTCGAATTAAATTTAACTTCAATTGAAAAATATTTAAAAACTATAAATCAGTCTGATTGTGTGTTAGAAAATCAGGTTCTTTGCTAGAGGTATATCGTACCAACCAATTTATTTTCAATAGAAAGCAAGAAACAACTTTTACTACAAGCAGAGTCCGAGTAGTTTAGTCCATTGCCAAAGCTTAATAATGGATCGCCAGAAATTAAAACAAATGGTGTCTTCAAATAGTGAAGCTGATGCTGCGACTGGAAAAGCAGTTAGATGCAAATCTATTACTGTTAGACGCTCCATTATTGTTACACGCTCTGTCACGGCACGGTTGTTAAGTGGAAAATGTGGTAAGGGTAAGGTTAATACAGATGCCGTAAGAGCCAGAAAGACTCAAGCGAAAAAAGACACAAAAAAGAAAGTAAAAGTTATGAAGAAGGAACGTGAAAACGTTAAGTGCATTAGGACCGAAATGGAGGATGAAAAAGCTAAGCCCAAGAAGAAGGTCAACAAGAAGGTCAAGAAACAGCGCGTAAGTCCACCTACACCCACCCAGACGAAACGGAAGGAAACTTGTAAAAAGAAAAAGATTGCAAAATCTAGGAAGAGGAACGAAAAGCTACTACTAGAAAATGTCGATCAACTTCCTCGCGTTAGAAAAAGGAAATATACTGAAGAAGAACATCACTCAGTGGTTCCTATTAAACGGAAGAGGAAATAAAGTTATGTATTTTTATATTTTTCTAATTTCATAAACTTTGTACAATATTTCTTATGCTCAAAATTTGAAGTTCAAAATTTAAAGTTCACAAATTTTAAGTTCCAATTTGAAATTGCAAAATTTGAAGTTCAAAATTTGAAGTTCAAAATTTGAAGTAAAAAATTTGAAGTAAAAAATTTGAAGTTAAAAATTGCAAGTTAAAAATTGTAAGGTTAAAAGTAGGTGTGTCCGTCTTTAGTATATAAGACTGCTATAAGATTGAAATGGAAATGCCTAAAATTTTAAATAAATCAACGTAATTAATCCACTATTCCACTAGTCATTATTGTCTTTCTTATTAAATCATATGGTTTCATAATTGTTCTCGATGTTAGGAGTTTTTACCCGAGGTAATTAAGTTTTGACTGTGTTGTAGGTCGAAAACTAATGGATTATACAAAATAATACCAATTTAATTTTTACTCAGCCAATTGTAGCTTTAACTCACCGAATTGAAGTATTTCTAATTAGTTTCTTGCATTGATTATGGATAAAGTTATTATTGAGTTTTACCTTAACCCAATTTCAATACTGATTTCACATTTTCAGAGACTTGATTCAGTTTTGGGAAGAAAGTTGAAGGTAATATCTCAAGAGTGCGATTTTCTTTCCTACATTATTGACATCTGTTAAAAGTATGGTTTCTAGATAACCAAATTGTTCTCTATTTGCAAACATTTTTACAAAACAATCTTATATATGAGACACTCCTTTAATATCAATACAAGTGAAGTTCATGGAATGAAAGAGGATGCTATCGCGTTTATTTATGTAGTGTTCTATTTAGTGAGGGTAGAACGAATACCAATAATAAAATATATTCAAAATTCTTACAATTTCACTACAATTGCACTACAATCTCAAGTGGATCTACATGGTGCAACTTTATTAACTTGTACGGGTTGAGAAGACTTGCCTTAGGAGACCCGTATCCGCACATTCCATTAGAAATCCACGATTAATCTTGATTAGCCAAAGCAAATTCAAAGTACTCAATGTTGCTACTCGTTCGTCATTATATATGTTTCTAAAATCATTTTTGATTATGAAATATCCATAAATAAAACCAAAGTGATTAGGATTGTATTTATGCACAAAATGTCTGTTTGCCACCACAATATTCATATAATAGTGAATATAAAAGTACTCAGAAAACATATAATGTCAAATCAGTGCAATATGGTATCATATGTAAAATTAGCAGTTTAATAGACTGCTACATATCACATGATACATAAGTACTCAGCAGTCCTACATTCGACATTAGACTTTTATATAAAATTAAATAAATTAATATTTAATAGCATTAATATTTAATTTTAAAATAAAATTTGTACAATTTTACATAGATTTGCACTCTAAACTTTACATAATAATTTCGGAAAAAAGATTTTTCTGACTTGTTAATAAAAACCACTATTCCGGACAAATTTAGAAAATGGCGAATAACTTTTGAAATTTTTAATCGACTTTTATGTTAAAATGTTTGTATTCAAATCGTTTTAAACATCAATTAAAACACTTTTTTTTTTTATTTTAAAAATTATATATTGTATATAAAATTGAAACAATGTTCAAAATTGTTAGTTTTTTGTATATAATTTTCAGAATGTGGTAAATGTCTGTCCACGTCATATTTTTTAAAGTAGGAAGGATTCGTTTTTGTTAAATATGATCAACAATAGCCTGCTAGCAATCCTACACCCCATAATCCCTTTTATATATATCCTGTAAAACCTGTTGAAACCTTTCACTTTACCTTAGGTGTGTAGGTGGCAATAAGTTTCTTTATTGAGAAAAAAGCTTTCCTTGCAGAAAATTGACAAAGAATTTTTTTAATGCCAGAATTAAATTATAACTCTATATATGACTAACTCTAAATATACGAAAATAAATACTTATTAAGGTGGACTTTTACTTTAGTTATATTTCAAGTTTTACTCTTCTTATTCAGCATCCCTTGTGTCCATATTGGAAGCATCATTTCCATCCTCGTCCTCA